AACGGGTAGTTGTGGGTCCAGCACACATAGGGCGATACACCAAGGGGGATACCATCCGAAAGTAACAGTGCTGGAAAGCTCCCAGTTTGTGTGTAGATGTGGTTAGAGTATCACGAACGGGAAATTCGCCCTTTTCAGACATAAAATGAGATTTGGCTGGAGCTCCTAATTGTGATGATTCTGGGGGTCCACAAAAAAAACGATTAGAGCGGAAAAACCAGTCCAACAAGATCGGACAGACGAAGCAAACGATCGTTCTGGAGTCCAACCTCAATACCTAGAAAGGGCAGAATATGGGAACAAAGACCCGGCAGAGTACAGGAACAATCTCTTTACCTAGAAAGGGGCAGACTTTCGGCTGGGAACAATAGACCCCGGCATAGTACAGGACATCTCTTCCCTCAATCCCCTAGAAAAGGGGCACTGATATGGGGAACAAAGACCCGGCATAGTACAGGACATCTCTCTTCCCTCAATACCTAGAAAGGGGCAGATATAGGGCGAACAAAGACCCGGCATCGTAAGTAGGACATCTCTTCCCTCAATACCTAGAAAGGGGCAGATTCTGACCCGGACACAAAGACCCGGCACATAGTTACAGGACACCTCTCTTCCCTCAATACCTAGAAAGGGGCAGATGTGGGAACAAAGACCCGCATAGTACAGGACATCTCTCTTCCCTCAATACCTAGAAAGGGGCAGATATGGGAACAAGAAAGACATTCCGGCATAGTACAGGACATCTCTTCCCTCAATACCTAGAAAGGGGCAGATATGGGAACAAAGACCCGGCATACTACAGGACACTCTCTCTCCCTCAATACCTAGGAAAGAGGGGCAGAGATATGGGAAACAAAGACCCGGCATAGTACAGGACACCCTCTCTTCCTCAATACCTAGAAAGGGCAGCCAGATATCATGGGGGAACAAAGACCCGGCATAGTACAGTACAGGACACATCTCTTCCCTCAATACCTAGAAAGGGGCAGATTCAGGGAACAAAAGACCCTGCCTCTTCCCTCATACCTAGACAGGACATGGGGAACAAAGACCACGCATCTCTTTCCCTCAATACCTAGAAAGGGGCAGATATGGGGAACAAAGACCCGGCATAGTACAGGACACCTCTCTTCCCTCAATACCTAGAAAGGGGCAGATATGGGAACAAAGACCCGGCATAGTACAGGACACCTCTCTTCCCTCAATACCTAGAAAGGGGCAGATGGGGGAACACAAAGACCCGGCATAGTACAGGACAGCTCTCTTCCCTCAATACCTAGAAAGGGGCAGATATGGGAACAAAGACCCGGCCGCATAGTACAGGACACCTCTCTTCCCTCAATACCTAGAAAGGGGCAGATATGGGGAACAAAGACCCGGCATAGTACAGGACATCTCTCTTCCCTCAATACCTAGAAAGGGGCAGATATGGGGAACAAAGACCCGGCATAGTACAGGACACCTCTCTTTCCCTCAATACCTAGAAAGGGGCAGAAAGGGGCATAGAGGACATCTCTTCCCTCAATACCTAGAAAGGGGCAGAATGGGGAACAAAGACCCGGCATAGTACAGGACACCTCTTCCCTCAATACCTAGAAAGGGGCAGATATGGGGAACAAAGACCCGGCATAGTACAGGACATCTCTCTTCCCTCAATACCTAGAAAGGGGCAGATATGGGGGGAACAAAGACCCGGCATAGTACAGGACAGCTCTACAGGACATCTCTCCCTCAATACCTAGAAAGGGGCAGATATGGGGAACAAAGACCCGGCATAGTACAGGACATCTCTCTTCCCTCAATACCTAGAAAGGGGCAGATATGGGGAACAAAGACCCGGCATAGTACAGGACACCTCTCTTCCCTCAATACCTAGAAAGGGGCAGATATGGGGAACAAAGACCGGCATAGTACAGGACATCTCTTCCCTCAATACCTAGAAAGGGGCAGATATGGGGAACAAAGACCCGGCATAGTACAGGACATCTCTTCCCTCAATACCTAGAAAGGGGGCAGATATGGGAACAAAGACCCGCGCATAGTACAGGACATCTCTTTCCCTCAATACCTAGAAAGGGGCAGATATGGGGAACAAAGACCCGGCATAGTACAGGACATCTCTTCTTCCCCTCAATACCTAGAAAGGGGCAGATATGGGGAACAAAGACCCGGCATAGTACAGGACACCTCTCTCTTCCCTCAATACCTAGAAAGGGGCAGATATGGGAACAAAGACCCGGCATAGTACAGGACATCTCTCTTCCCTCAATACCTAGAAAGGGGCAGATATGGGAACAAAGACCCGGCATAGTACAGGACATCTCTCTTCCCTCAATACCTAGAAAGGGGCAGATATGGGGAACAAAGACCCGGCATCAATAGTACAGGACCTCTCATAGTTCAGGACATCTCTCTTCCCTCAATACCTAGAAAGGGGCAGATATGGGAACAAAGACCCGGCATAGTACAGGACACCTCTCTCTCCCTCAATACCTAGAAAGGGGCAGATATGGGAACAAAGACCCGGCATAGTACAGGACATCTCTTCCCTCAATACCTAGAAAGGGGCAGATATGGGAACAAAGACCCGGCATAGTACAGGACATCTCTCTTCCCTCAATACCTAGAAAGGGGCAGATACATGGGGAACAAAGACCCGGCATAGTACAGGAACACCTCTCTCTTCCCTCAATACCTAGAAAGGGGCAGATATGGGAACAAAGACCCGGCATAGTACAGGACATCTCTCTTCCCTCAATACCTAGAAAGGGGCAGATATGGGGAAACAAAGACCCGGCATAGTACAGGACATCTCTCTTCCCTCAATACCTAGAAAGGGGCAGATATGGGGAACAAAGACCCGGCATAGTACAGGACATCTCTCTTCCCTCAATACCTAGAAAGGGGCAGATATGAACAAAGGAACCTCTCTTCCTCTCAATACCTAGAAAAGGGGGCAGAATGGGGGAACAATGTGGGGACCCCGGCATAGTACAGGACATCTCTCTTCCCTCAATACCTAGAAAGGGGCAGATATGGGGAACAAAGACCCGGCATGGGGAACAAGTACAGTACAGGACATCTCTTCCCTCAATACCTAGAAAGGGGCAGATATGGGAACAAAGACCCGGCATAGTACAGGACATCTCTTCCCTCAATACCTAGAAAGGGGCAGATATGGGGAACAAAGACCCGGCATAGTACAGGACATCCTCTTCTTCCCTCAATACCTAGAAAGGGGCAGATATGGGAACAAAGACCCGGCATAGTACAGGACACCTCTCTTCCCTCAATACCTAGAAAGGGGCAGATATGGGAACAAAGACCCGGCATAGTACAGGACATCTCTCTTCCCTCAATACCCTAGAAAGGGGCAGATACTTGGGAACAAAGACCCGGCATAGTACAGGACACCTCTCTTCCCTCAATACCTAGAAAGGGGCAGATATATGGGGAAACAAAGACCCGGCATAGTACAGGACATCTCTCTTCCCTCAATACCTAGAAAGGGGCAGATATGGGGAACAAAGACCCGGCATAGTACAGGACACTCTCTCTTCCCTCAATACCTAGAAAGGGGCAGATATGGGGAAACAAAGACCCGGCATAGTACAGGACACCTCTCTTCCCTCAATACCTAGAAAGGGGCAGATATGGGGAACAAAGACCCGGCATAGTACAGGACACATCTCTTCCCTCAATACCTAGAAAGGGGCAGATATGGGGAACAAAGACCCCGGCATAGTACAGGACATCTCTTCCCTCAATACCTAGAAAGGGGCAGATATGGGGAACAAAGACCCGGCATAGTACAGGACACTCTCTTCCCTCAATACCTAGAAAGGGGCAGATATGGGGAACAAAGACCCGGCATAGTACAGGACACCTCTCTTCCCTCAATACCTAGAAAGGGGCAGATATGGGGAACAAAGACCCGGCATAGTACAGGACACCTCTCTTCCCTCCTCAATACCTAGAAAGGGGCAGATATGGGAACAAAGACCCGGCATAGTACAGGACACCTCTCTTCTTCCCTCAATACCTAGAAAGGGGCAGATATGGGAACAAAGACCCGGCATAGTACAGGACATCTCTCTTCCCTCAATACCTAGAAAGGGGCAGATACAGGGAACAAAGACCGGCATAGTACAGAACATCTCTCTTCCCTCAATACCTAGAAAGGGGCAGATATGGGGAACAAAGACCCGGCATAGTACAGGACATCTCTCTTCCCTCAATACCTAGAAAGGGGCAGATATACCTAGAAAGGGGCAGGGGAACAAAGACCCGGCATAGTACAGGACACCTCTCTTCCCTCAATACCTAGAAAGGGGCAGATATGGGAACAAAGACCCGGCATAGTACAGGACATCTCTCTTCCCTCAATACCTAGAAAGGGGCAGATATGGCAGATATTCAGGGAACAAAGACCCGGCATAGTACAGGACATCTCTTCCCTCCCAATACCTAGAAAGGGGCAGATATGGGAACAAAGGGGTACAACAAAGACCTAGGCATAGTACACCCGGACATCTCTCTTCCCTCAATACCTAGAAAGGGCAGATATGGGGAACAAAGACCCGGCATAGTACAGGACACCTCTCTTCCCTCAATACCTAGAAAGGGGCAGATATGGGGAAACAAAGACCCGGCATAGTACAGGACACCTCTCTTCCCTCAATACCTAGAAAGGGGCAGATATGGGGAACAAAGACCCGGCATAGTACAGGACACCTCTCTTCCCTCAATACCTAGAAAGGGGCAGATACCGGGGGGAACAAAGACCCGGCATAGTACAGGACACCTCTCTTTCCCTCAATACCTAGAAAGGGGCAGATATGGGGAACAAAGACCCGGCATAGTACAGGACATCTCTTCCCTCAATACCTAGAAGGGGCAGATTCAGGGAACAAAGACCCGGCATAGTACAGGACATCCTCTTCCCCCAGACACGGACGAAGAACGATCCTTACCGCACAGATCGAATATTTGGATCTCACCTGAATGGTCGTATTACCGCCTTCAAGAAGCGCAATGGCCAACAGGATGCTTTCGTGAAACACGCGGTCGCTGGTGGCGTTCATGATGAGGTCAATGACCAGATCCGAAGCCCCTTCCTTATCCAGGTGGCACTGAACGTCAGACATACTCATCTCCCCTCGACTCAGATTCCCCGAACTGGATCCAGCTACAGAGAGAAACACCTTAGAATGTTTGTCCAACCAAAATACAGAAGACATTTTCTTTCAAGTTTTGAATGGAGCGGGAAAAGATTAGAACTCCCGCCATGTTTTAGGATTCCATTGGAGAGATCCCCCCACACACACACTTCCTGTTGAGGTGACAACAGACAGGAAGTGAGGAGGGATCTGCATCAGACATGGAGACATTCTTCCCTACTCTACTGACCATTTGGAAACTCGGGCACTGCCCGAGGGCCCGGGGTCAGTAGGGGGCCCCATGAGATGCCCCTGGTACCTTTTTCATAGGCTTTTTTGAGTTTGGGCAAGGACACAGGGGGCCCCATGATCCACTATTGCGCGGGGGCCCCATGAGTTGTCAGTCCGCCCCTGTTGGTGTCACTGCTGGATTTTTTTCCCTCCCACCTGTCTAGTAAACCATTGTCCCCAGGACAGTGCATGATGGGAAATTTCTCAATCAGAGCCTCAGACAACATTGGAAGGCATTGAACCTTACTTTACTAAAAAGGGAGAACAGCTTGATGGAGTTGGGCTATTCTCTTGTAGGGGCCAATATCCCACTAGCCTCCACTTAATGGGATAGTGGCCCTCAGGAGAGGATAGTTCCCAAATCATTGGGGTTTGGGATAGTGGTGGGATAGTGGCCCCCCAGGAGAGAATAGTACCCAAATCACTGGTGTTGGTGGGATAGTGGCCCCAGGAGAGAATAGTACCCAAATCACTGGTGTTGGTGGGATAGTGGCCCTCAGGAGAGGATAGTTCCCAAATCACTGGTGGGTAGTGGTGGGATAGTGGACTATTCCCTCAGGTCAGAGGATAGTGGTTCCCAAATCACTGGTGTTGGTGGGGATAGAAGTGGCCCTCAGGACTGGTGGAGGATAGTGGCCCCCACCCAAATCACTGATGTTGGTGGGATAGTGGCCCCCAGGAGAGAATAGTACCCAAATCACTGGTGTTGGTGGGATAGTGGCCCCCAGGAGAGAATAGTACCCAAATCACTGGTGTTGGTGGGATAGTGGCCCCCAGGAGAGAATAGTACCCTAAATCATTGGGGTTGGTGGGATAGTGGCCCCCAGGAGAGAATAGTACCCAAATCATTGGGGTTGGTGGGATAGTGGCCCCCCTGAATAGTGTTTGTGGGACCGTGGCCCCCACACAAAAATATTCCCTCAATAATTGGTGTCAGTGGCATAGTGGCTACCAGGAGAAAATAGCCCCCGACACCAATGAATTGGGGGGAATAGTTTCACATGGGGGCTATGGTCCCACTGACCCAGTGATGTGGGTGCATTTTTTTCTTGTGGGTCACCATCTCATCAACACCAATGATTTGGGTACCATTTTCTCCTGGGGGCCACTATCCCTCTACCACCAGTCAATTGAGTGGCTATGTATTCCTGGCAGCCATGGTCCCACAAGCAGCAATGATTCAGGTACATTTTTTGGAGGGCCACTATCCCAACTGACTACAGTAAATTGAGGGCCTTTTCTCCAGGGGGCCGAGATCCCACTGACACCAATGATCTGAGGGTATTCTCTCCTGGGGGCCACTATCCCTCCATCAGTCGAGTGGCTATTCTATCCTGGCAGCCATGGTCCCCACAAGCAGCAATGGTTCAGGTACATTTTTTGGAGGGCCCCTATCCCAACTGACTACAGTAAATTGAGGGCCTTTTCTCCAGGGTGCCCAAGATCCCACTGACACCAATGATTTGGGAGCTATACTCCTCTGGGGGCCATGGTTCCCCATTGATTGGGGGGTTAGTCTCTTGCATTTCCATATTTCCAATGAGCGGCCATACACCAGCAGACGTTCCATCGAACATTCATATGAAAATTCTCATTAGTACATTTGGTGACTTGACTAACATCGGTCAAGTACTTCATAATGTTTGCTTTTAACATTCGATTTTGGAACGAATGTAATTTCTTGAACTTATTGAAGAAAAATTCTGTCCTGCTCCTTCCAATTATCTCATAACTGGTCGAAAATGGACGTTTTACCCCAAATGCAATTTAGAAATCCAAATTTTCAAACAAAATTCCTCTAGTACAGTGGTCTCCAAACTGCAGCCCTGGGGCCAGATATTGCCCTTTACTTCCATTTATCAGGTCCTTGGGGCACAATTCCATCCACTGACACCAACAATGGGGCACAATTTCTCCCAATGACGCCAACAATGGGGCACAATTCCTCCCAATGACGCCAACCATGGGGCACAATTCCTCCCAATGACGCCAACCATGGGGCACAATTCCTCCCAATGACGCCAACCATGGGGCACAATTCCTCCCAATGACGCCAACCATGGGGCACAATTCCTCCCAATGACGCCAACCATGGGGCACAATTCCTCCCAATGACGCCAACCATGGGGCACAATTCCTCCCAATGACGCCACCATGGGGCACAATTCCTCCCAATGACGCCAACCATGGGGCACAATTCCTCCCATGGGGACGCCAACGCCCATGGGGCACAATTCCTCCCAATGACGCCAACCATGGGGCACAATTCCTCCCAATGACGCCAACAATGGGGCACAATTCCTCCCAATGACGCCAACCATGGGGCACAATTCCTCCCAATGACGCCAACCATGGGGCACAATTCCTCCCAATGACGCCAACCATGGGGCACAATTCCTCCCAATTCCAACCTCCAATGACGCCAACATTGGGTCACAATTCCTCCCAATGACGCCAACATTGGGTCACAATTCCTCCCAATGACGCCAACAATGGGTCACAATTCCTCCCAATGACGCCAACATGGGTCACAATTCCTCCCAATGACGCCAACAATGGGTCACAATTCTTCCTAATGACGCCAACAATGGGGCACAATTCCTCCCAATGACGCCAACAATGGGGCACAATTTCTCCCAATGACGCCAACAATGGGGCACAATTTCTCCCAATGACATCAACAATGGGGCACAATTCCTCCCAATGAAGCCAAGGATGAGGCAGTGTTCCTTCTACTGACACCAAGGATGGGGCATTGTTTTTCTCCCACACCAGGACATTTTCTACTCCCATTGGCCTCAGTCCACTTTCCCCCTCAAGGTCTGAAGGACAGTATACCGGCCCTTTGTTTAGAATGTTTGGAGACCCCTGCTCTAGTGTATGGCTAGCTTCCAGCTAATCTCCACTAAGAGACTTGCCTCCACCAGCAGACTTCCCACCGCCACCTCCAGATAACGATCCATTGCCGAAGCTGGTGAGGCTCTCCCTTCGTCCACTTTGTTTGACGGTCCCGTAATAGCGGTTCACCAGAATAATCCGGAGTGCTTCCCCCTGCAAGAAGAAAGAATAAAAACATAATAATCCAGGGAAGAGTGAATGGGGAAAGCTCTGGATCTTCCAGGTGGGTGCAAGGAACTCCCAACCAGAACTCGAAGAGGAACCTTCCAAATGGACACAAGCTCAGTAATACGAACAACAGGAGCAAAGACGATGCAACCAAGGCCAATCAAAGCTTCCACGACAGACCCTGGAACTACACCAAAGAGACAAAACCTACAGACACAACATCTCAACCAATGCTTACGGGGACAGCAGGCAAACCGATGAGGAGAAGACAATGACGAGGACACACTGTGCGCATTCTGCGATGACTGCTGGTGTACCTACCCTCTTGATATCTTCTAGTTGCCTCACAGACTGGGCCTGGCCAGGATCCTGCGACCATGCAGAAAGCAAATTCATAAACTGAGCAGATTAAACCATCCCGGACTTCCCCACAATAAAACAGAGTGGGTAGACATGTAGGTGGTGGGGGTTGGGAAAGGATGAGGATGAAGGTAGTGGTGGTGGTGGTTGGGGGTGGGGTGGTTAGGACCGTAACCATACAACCTTCTGCTATAGTGACCTCCCAAACATTGGTCCACTGAACTCGTTTTGCTCTCAACTTACTTCCACCTTCGAGTTCACAGTGGCTAGCTCTTCTGCCTTGAAGCACTGGGGTCCTTGGTTTCATTTCTGGTCAGGAACCCATCTGCATGGAGTTTGCATGCTCTCCCTGTGTTTGCATGTGTTGCCCCTGGGTACTCCAGTTTCCTCTCACACTCCAATACCATTCTCCTGTCTAAAAGGGACCCTAGTAGGATATTCTACTGAGCGCACCCAAGATGGCGGCCTCGCCATCTTCCCCAACAGATAAAGCACTATAGATATTCATTTGGAACAAGTTGGTGATTTCGAAGCTTCTCCTGAGAACACAGAAACCCGTTTTCACCTTCCCAGAAGTCCTGAAGAAATCCGGCAAATCCAAGTGAACTGTCTGCGAATGCGCCACAAAGCAAATGTAGGAGGAGCCGGGGGCATTTCAGTTGGCCTGTTTGTCCAATGGACAGCGGATGTGCGACAGGCTGGGAAGTGTGGAGTTTGTTCTAGGAGGCCAATGTTACAAAGCCGATCTTGTACATTCGCCGTTTTATACACCACATTGTGTCGCCTACAGCGGGACTCGTTTTTAGATTCTGAATGTTGGAATTGGCGCTCGTTTCATTGGATGGGAAGCGAACTGTAAAATGATTGATTTGTTGGCGGGTGTGTGGCGAATCTTGCGCCAACCTGATCTCTGATCCTTCAAAAATGCACATCTTTAGGTAAAGGTCTTAGGGCGACCCTTTCCTAGAGAGTTCCTTATGGAAAAGCATCCAGGACACTACTTGCATGGAGTTTGCATGTCCTTCCTGTGTTTGCGTATATTTCCTCCAAGTGCTCCGGTTTCCTCCCACACTCCAGATACATTCTGGCAGGTTAACTGGCCCCAGTATGTGTATATGTGAGATAGGGACCTAAGACTGGGAGCTCCTCAAAGGCGGGGACTGATGTACGTATGAATGTATGTATGTATGTATGTATGAATGATAGGGACCTTAGACTGGGAGCTCCTCGAAGGCGGGGACTGATGTATGTATGTATGTATGAATGTATGAATGAGATAGGGACCTTAGACTGGGAGCTCCTCGAAGACGGGACTGATGTATGTATGTATGTATGTATATGTATGTATGTATGTGTGTGAGATAGGGACCTTAGACTGGAAGCTACTCAAAGGCCTCAATGTATGTATGTATGAACGGGCGGGGACTTATGACTTATGTATGTATGTGTATATGTGAGATCGGGACCTAAGACGAAGTTCCTCAAAGGCGGGGACTGATGTACGTATGAATGTATGTATGTGTATGAATGATAGGGACCTTAGACTGGGAGCTCCTCGAAGGTGGGGACTGATGTATGTATGTATGTATGTATGTATGTATGTATGTATGTATGAATGATAGGGACCTTAGACTGGGAGCTCCTCGAAGGTGGGGACTGATGTATGTATGTATGTATGTATGTATGTATGTATGTGAGATAGGGACCTTAGACTGGAAGCTCCTCGAAGGTGGGGACTAATGTATGTATGTATGTATGATACGGATCTAAGACTGGGAGCTCCTCAAAGGCGGGGAATGATGTATGTATGTATGTATGTATGTGAGATCGGGACCTTAGACTGGAACCCTGGGGGGGGCGGGGCGGGATGTGACCGCACAGTATATCGCTGTAATATCAGCTTTGTTGCGATTCCTGGACCTGGAAATGGTGAATATGCAAATTAGCGGATATCCTAAACCTGACATTTAATATGACTGGGCGTGCCTTGCTGTGTCTGTGCCCCCCCCCCCCCTTGCTGTGTCTGTGCCCCCCCCCCCTTGCTGTGTCTGTGCCCCCCCCCCCCCTTGCTGTGTCTGTGCCCCCCCCCCCCCTTGCCCCCCCCCCCCCCTTGCTGTGTCTGTGCCCCCCCCCCCGCCTTGCTGTGTCTGTGCCCCCACCCCTGCCTTGCTGTGTCTGTGCCCCCCATTCTTGCTCCGTGTTCATTATCGGCATTCTTGCTATGGACTCAAAGGGCTCATTCACACTAGAGGTTGGGGGGCAGAGAATAACCCCTCATCTGAGCCAGAGTTTTACTTCCCCTCAATCGCTCCCCTTTAGCTGCAGAGGAAGCTGCCCAGAGTGTATTATATCCCTCGTCACGTTTGGTGAGCGCCACCAACTGCCACCCCAAGTGGATAGGGACACTCTGCAAGCGCCCTGCGGACATGTACAACGCATGCAGTTCTGGTGTGCTAGTGCCGGGTCCAGGCGGTGGGGAGGTAATACATTGCCTTCTCACCACCTCTCTGAAGAGTGATCCAAACATTGATCGTTCTTCAGAGATCACCACAAGTGTGAACGAGGCCTAGAAGCCAATCAGAAGGAGAGGAGCGTTGTGCGGAGTACATTCCATCTACTAGGATTCCAGACAGTCGGCCCGGGAAGGGTTAATCTCCCACACAAGTCTATGGATGAATCAGCAGGAAAGTCCCTCCGCCGGAGGCTGGGAACCGGTCTCCTCCACATCTGGAGTCGGGGGGGGGGGGGGGGGGGGGGGGGGGGGGCTCACATGTCCCCCCCAGACAGACAGACGGCAGCTGAGCTGCTCAGACACCCAGAACATCACCGAACTGCACAGACGTCTGACTAATGAGGAGGAAACAACCCTCAGCTGAAGTCTCCTCTCTTTATATTCTAACTACCCCCCCCCCCCCCCATCCGCCAGACTTGCCTACCCCCCCCCCCCCCCCATCCGCCAGACTTGCCTACTCATCCCCCATCCCCCCCATCAGCGACGCGGGGGGGAAAATCGCACTCACGCGACACGGGGGGGAAAAAATCGCACTGACGCGACACGGGGGGGGGGGGGAAATCGCACTGACGCGACGGGGGTGGGGGGGGGGGGGGGGGAAAATCGCACTGACGCGACGCGGGCGGGGGGGGGGGGAAAAATCGCACTGACGCGGGGGGGGGGGGGGGGGATCGCACTGACGTGACGGGGGGGGGGGGGATCGCACTGACGTGATGCGGGGGGGGGGGGAGATCGCACTGACGTGATGCGGGGGGGGGGGGGGGGGGGGGGGGGAGATCACACTGACGTGATGCGGGGGGGGGGGGGGGGGAGATCGCACTGACGCGACGCGGGGGGGGGGGGGGAGATCGCACTGACGCGACGCGCGGGGGGGGGGGAGATCGCACTGACGCGACGCGGGGGGGGGGGGGGGAGATCGCACTGACGCGACGCGCAGCGTGCGGGGGGGGGAGATCGCACTGACGCGACGCGCGGGGGGGGGGGGAGATCGCACTGACGCGACGCGCGGGGGGGGGGAGATCGCACTGACGCGACGCGGGGGGGGGGGGAGATCGCACTGACGCGACGCGCGGGCGGGGGGGGGGGGGGGGAGATCGCACTGACGCGACGCGCGGGGGGGGGGGGGGGAGATCGCACTGACGCGACGCGCGGGGGGGGGGAGGGCACTGACGCGACGCGGGGGGGGGGGGGGGAGATCACACTGACGCGACGGGGGGGGGGGGGGGGGGGGGGGGAGATCACACTGACGCGACGCTGGGGGGGGGAAGTCGCACTGACGTGATGATGGGGGGGGGGGGGAGATCGCACTGACGTGATGGGGGGGGGGGGGGGAGATCGCACTGACGTGATGCGGGGGGGGGGGGGGGAGATCGCACTGACGTGATGCGGGGGGGGGGGGGGGAGATCGCACTGACGTGATGCGGGGGGGGGGGGGGGGAGATCGCGCTGACGCGACGCGGGGGGGGGGGGGGGGGGAGATCGCGCTGACGCGACGCGCGGGGGGGGGGGGGGAGATCGCACTGACGCGACGCGGGGGGGGGGGGATGGGGAGATCACACTGACGCGACGCGGGGGGGGGGGGGGAGATCACACTGACGCGACGCGGGGGTGAGGGGAGGGGGGGGGGGGGGGGGTTGGAGATCACACTGACGCGACGGGGGGGGGTTGGAGATCGCACTAACGCGACGCGCGGGGGGGGGTTGGAGAATGCACTGACGCGACGCGGAGGGGGTTGGAGATCGCACTGACGCGGGGGGGGGGGGGGGAGATCGCACTGACGGGGGGGGGGGGGGAGATCGCACTGAGCGGGGGGGGATCACATGCCATTTCTGTGCGGTGAACATTATGTACGGCTCAAGCCGCATCCGCACCAAAATAGTGCAGGACCCTTTATTTTGTCGGCACCAGAATCGGGGGTCGCGTGCTTCTCACACCCATGTGATCGGATTCTGCACATCGCACTGCGTTCTGTGAACCCATTTCAGGGTGTTACCTTAGAACACACACCGCATCGGAATCGCAACCCGTTCGGGGTGCGATTCTGATGCGGTGTGGAAATCAGTGAGAACCCGGGCTGGATGTGGGAACACTTCAAGAGCCTGCGCAGGTATAA